GCCCGTCCCTGTGGAAGGGCGTCCTGAGGGGCGTTCCTGTCTGCTTCATGAGCCTCTTCCACAGCCAGACTCTTGGTGCGCTGAGCCAGCTGCTCAGAGCCTGGGACAGCGAGGAGGGGCCCTGGCCTGGCTCACCGAGTGTGTGAGCACCTCACAACTGGACATCTGCGTCCTGATCCCCAAGTCCAGGCGAGAACACAGTCTTCATTTGTACTGCCACCAGCAACGTCGAGTCATTTCACTTCGGGGCGCCCAATCTGTAGCTCGCTCACAACCAGGAGGATGAACAGTGAGTACCTGAATTCCTGATTTGTTGAATTTTTTGTTGTATCCTCCCTCCCTTGAAGAGGAAGAGGAAGGGGGCACAAGCTTTCATTTGGACTTCCAAATCCATTCCACTGATCTGCTCACATAACAATATCATGCTATGTTGATTACTGTGACATTGCAGCGAGTCTTAAAGAAATGTGAGCCTTCAAACCTTGTTTTCTCTTCAAGTTTATTCTGACTGTTCTGTACCCCTTACAGTTTTATGAAGGAGTAGCACGTCAGAATCTGAAATGCACAGCTTTGGATCGGGTAGCAATTGAGCTGAGCTGGTGAATCAGTTCGGGAAGCACTGTGGTTTTCACAATGTTGAGTCTTTAGTCGTGAACATGGAATACCTTTCCATGTATGTAAATTTTTAGTCCTTTTCAGCAATGCTTTATAATTTTAAAGATACTATCTGACATTTTTTAGTTCAATCATTTACAAAGTATTAATTTTCATAATATTGCCATGGACTTTACGGTTGTAGGTTTTACTCGTTGGTCTCCTGCACTTATTGCTTAACTTCCTAATTAGTTCTAGTAGTTCTTTTTTATAGATGCTTTAGAATTTGCAATATAAATCTACATCATTTAAAAACAAATATACCTTAATTGTCAATGATTATACAGTTGTTTGTATTATTGAAGATATTTTAAATTGCATTTCAAAGATCTGTGCCTCTTACCAGAGTATCAAGTATAATGTTCAATAAAAAGTGCAAAGACTGTACTTTATGTTTTGTCCGCTGACCTGTGGGACAACTCTCTCAGTCTGTCAGTGGATTAGTTATCAGCTCTGTCATTTCTGAGTCCTAGCAGGCACTAGTGGCACTAATGGCAAGTCTCATAGCAGAGACTGCAAACAGTGACAGTCCTAGCTTACACGTAGGTGCAGGTCCAGTAAGTTTGGGATCCCACCGTCGCTGTCTGCTTGCACATAGGAGGAGTGATCCAGAAACTGGAGATCATCTGCGTCATTTTCTTCTTCTGTTCCTACATAGAATTCAGTGGAGAAAATGGCCCCAGGAAACCACTCCACAGTGACTGAGTTCATCCTGGTGGGGCTAACGGAGAAGCCAGAGCTCCAGCCGCCCCTCTTCCTCCTCTTCCTGGGGATCTACGTGCTCACGGTGCTGGGGAACCTGGGCATGATGGTGCTGATCGCGCTCAGTTCTCACCTGCACACCCCCATGTACTATCTCCTCAGCAGTCTCTCCTTCAT